TGCGAAATAGTATAATTTTTAAGTGCAGTAAGTCCTTGTTCATGTAGAGTTCATGTGCTGCCTTATGCTCTTTTTACCCCTCCAGATATGGGAAGTTAACTGATAAAGGCTGCACCAGTGGGTCCCTTGCCCTCTGACTTGTGATTGGCCAATGGGAGTCACTGGCAGGAAATCCCAAGGGCCAGGGAGAATAAGGTGGAGTGTGGATTCCTTGGGGGTCCTGGGGAGCTGGCTGTAGGGTCACAGCTTCTGTCAGGTTGCCCTTTCTGCACTCCTTCAGCGGGTTCGGTCACTAGGAGCAAGCGTTTGTCGGCCCCAGGTGAAAGGTTCCCACTGTTACCAGTGCGGGGGACTATGTTGTCTCTTATGACTTCTCTGTCCTTTCCCCTACTTTTGTAAAGTGATCTTTTGTTAAACTCTTCTCAGACTACTCAATTCGAACGTGTTCTTTGCTTTCTGCTGGGTCCCTGACTGGTATTGTTCGTTAAATCAGAGTGAAGTAACAATTGATTAATTCAGTGAAAATTTACTGAATGCCTCCTAAGGTCTAGTCTCTAAGGAAGCTGTTGTAAGGAAGTTACTCACTTAGTTGGCCAAGCCCAAAATCCAGTAGTGTCCTTGATTCCTCCGTGCCCTTCACCCCAGTCCCTCAGCAGATCCGGTCAGTCCTTCTTCCTTGCTATGTTTGGAACTTGTTCACTTATTGCACGGCCACTGCTACCTGTGGAGTCTAAGCACCAAACCTCTACCAAATCTGCTCACCAAATCTGCACTAGCTTCAGTTTTCTTCTTGACTTAACTCCTGTCTCCCTACATCTGTTCTTCAGGCAGCATCCAGGGAAGCCCCTAAGAGTATTAATCAAATCCCAGCACTTTTCTGCCCAAACCCTTTGGAACTTACAGAGGAGTCTGAGCTTACCATGGCTTCAGTGCCTGTATAACCCGGCCCGATGATCTTCCCTGACCTCTGTCTCTTTACTTTCCCCTTCCCTCTCAGCATCGTGACTGCTCTGGCTCTCCTTCAGTTTCCTGACTACTCCAATCAGTTTCTGCCTCAGGTTGCCTGGAATGCTCTTCCGTGGCTTTTCACCTCGTGTGCTCGCTTTCACCGTTCAGATCTCAGCTCAAGTTTCCTCAGACAGGCCTCCCTGAGCACGAGGTAGCCCCTATCCCAAATACTTTCTTTTTCTTTCTTTTTTTTTTTTGAGTTTGAGTCTCGCTGTCGCCCAGCCTGGAGTGCAGTGGTGCGCTATTGACTCACTGCAACCTCCACCTCCTGGATTCAAGCGATTCTCTTACCTCCGCCTCCCATGTAGCTGGGATTACAGGTGCCTGCCACCATACCTGCTAATATTTTTGTATTTTTAGTAGAGACAGGGTTTCACCGTGTTGGCCAGGCTGGTCTCAAACTCCTGATCTCAGGCAGTCCACTCGCCTTGGCCTCCCAAAATGCTTGGATTACAGGCATGAGCCACTGCACTCAGCCCCAAATACTTTGTATTTCTTTATTCCTCCATACCTCTGATCACTAAGTAACCTTCTTAAGCTTGCTTGCTTATCTGTTTCCCCTGCCTCTTCACCCCTTGAGAACTGAGACCCTTCTCTGTCTCGTTTCATCACATTTCCCCAGTGCTTAATAGAGTGCCTGACTCGTAGAATGTGTTCTGTACCTGAATGTTGGATGAATCAATAAGTCTATCACCCATACTGGTAACTGGCCCGGTAACACACTTTGTATTAACTGTCCTTTCTTTTGCTGTTTTACTTCTCCTTCCCCAACTACTATTATCTGGGATTGCTTCCAAATAAACTACTTGTACTTGCAGGCAAAAAGATATGTATTTCATATTCCCTGGTGTCAAAGAGCCTGTGGTCTGGTGAGGAAGGCTGACAAGTAAACAGATACAGTGTCCAGAGCTCTGAGAGAAGTAAGCCCCTCCTGCCCTAAAGAGGTGGTCAGAGGACCTTATCATTTACTGGGAGCTTATCATTTACTGCATTGTAGGTTGTTAGGCTACCGTAATCCCCAGGGTGGCAGGGGGTGACGTTGTTTATAAATGGGGAATGCTTATCGCACTTTCTATGAGTAGTTTTTGTACTGTTACATTATTTGTTCAGCACATATTGGGAGCAAGAGGATAATAGTACCATTAACTGCTCCCCAAAACTCATTTCCTGACAAATGCTTCTTGTCTGGTGGAAAGACAACATAGTGTGTGGTTAAGAGTCTGGCTCTACAGTCAGACCCACAGGTTTGCCTGCTGCTCCTCTGCCTTTGGTCTGTGAGACCTTAGGCAAGTTACTCACCCTTTCTGTGCTTTGAGCTCTTTATCTGCAAAATGGGGCTCATACCACTTCCCCAGAGGGTTCCAGAATTAAATGATAAATTCATACAAAGTTTTCAGAACTATAAATGTTAACTGTTATTATTCTCTACTTTCTTTTAGTTATTTCTCCTGAGAAATGCTTATAGGCTACAGTGTAATCCTTTTTCTAGCTACTTTATATGCTTAAAGTAGCAAAGTGTCACTTCTGCAGAAATGTTAAAATTCAGACTTTTCTTATTTGGATTGGTTTTCTCTTAAATTAACTTGATTTATTTAGGTCTAACTCCATCTTTTTGTTTTTATTTTATTCCAAGAAGTCATTTATGTATAATCTAATATATTTACTGTAAAGGTACATGGTTTCAGAAAATTGTGCATATTTAGTAAACTGAATTTAATCATGAAAATTGAAGAAACGTTTTCTTTTTTTTTTTTGAGACGGAGTCTCACTCTGTCGCCTAGGCTGGAGTGCAGTGGCACTATCTCAGGCTCACTGGCAAGCGTCGCCGTCCCGGTCACGCCCATTCCCCTGCCTCAGCTCCTGAGTAGCTGGTGACTACCAGGCCGCCCGCCACCTGGGCCCGGCTAGTTTTTTGTACTTTTTTTTTTTTTTTTCTGAGACGGAGTCTCGGCTCTGTGGGCCCAGGCTGGGAGGTGCATGTGGCGCGATCTTGGCCTAGGAAGCTCCGTCCCCCGTAGTCATTCTCCCTGCTCAGCCTTTCGAGATGCCTTGTGCCTCAGGATGCCGCCACCGTCGCGGCTAGTTTTTTGTATTCTTTTAGTAGAGATGGGGTTTCACCGTGTATCCAGGGGATGGTCTCAATCTCCTGACTCGTGATCCACCCATCTTGGCCTCCCAAGTGCTGGGATTACAGGCTAGAGCCGCCGCCCGGCCAGTTTTTGTATTTTTAATAGGAGACGGGGTTTCCACCATGTTAGCCAGGATGGTCTTGATCTCCTTGACCTCGTGATCCGCCCATCTGGCCCCCAAAAGTGCTGGATTACAGGCGTGAGCCAGCCCGCCACTCGAAATGACAAATTTTAAATCAACTAATGATTAAATTCTTTGCTAAAAAGAAAACTTTGTTAGAGAACCTTTTTTATTTTATAGGATGTTCTTACGTATATTTTTAAACTCTTTTTTAAAGGAAAATTTCAATTTTTTAAATTTTTGTGATCTTTTCTTTTTTTTTTTTTTGAGATGGAGTCTTGCTCTGCCGCCAGGCTTAGGTGCAGTGGTGTGATCTTGGCTCACTGCAACCTCCGCCTCCCGGTTCAAATGATTCTCCCTGCCTCAGCCTTCTGAGTAGCTGGGACTACAAGCACCACACCACCATGCCTGGCTAATTTTTTGTATTTTAGTAGAGATGGAATTTCACCATGTTAGTCAGGATTGTCTTGATCGCTTGACCTTGTGATCCACCTGCCTCGGCCTCCCAAAGTGCTGGGATTACAGGCGTGAGCCACTGCACTTGGCCTACTCTATGTTTTCTTCTAAGAGTTTTTAGTTTTTTTAATTTAAAAATGTACTATTTATTTTTTATTACTAGCAGGTGGAAGGAAGATCTTCTAAGAGTTTTATAGTTTTTGGCCTCACATTGAGGTCTTTGAGTCTTTGTGAGTTAATTTTTGTTTATGGTATTAGATAAGGACTCAGCATCATTCCTTTGCATGTGGATGTGCAGTTTTCCCAGCATCACTGGTTGGAAAGGCTGTCCTTTCCCTATCAAATGGTCTTGTCGCTGTTGCCAGAAACCACTTGACCGTGCATGCCAGGGCTTCTTTCTGGGCTCGCTGCCTTGATCTCAACATCACTTTTTAAGTTTTTCTTTCCTAGTTCTGAGGAGAGAATTAAATTTTTTGAACTCTTTTGATACAAGAATCCATTTGATTTTATAAATGTTATCATTTTCACTTATGTATAATTCTTTACTATTTTTGTTTTTTTATTTTTTCCAGAGAAGAGGAGGTATCTTGCAGTGGGCCTCTGTCCCAAAAACAAGCAGAATTTTTTCTTTCTCAACAGGTATGTGAATTCTGTAGTTTATCATGAACTTCTGTTTTAGTCCTGTGATGTGTGTCATGGCATAGGCCCGTTATGTGCATAGGTTTGTTAGTGAATCTGTGTCAGCCTTTACTCTTGGTCCCCTCTGCTTCACTAACGAAGCACTTGTAACTCTGTGCCCCTTCCTATTTTGTGTGTGATTTTATTTTTCTATTAAAGTTATAATCAAGGTTCATTTAGTAATGGTATGTGACTAACAGCCTAAAACCCTGTGGTTTAAAAGACTTGCTTCCCTTCTCTCAACATTTTATTATAGACATTTGCAAACGTAAAGAGAGCCTGAAAAGCAGTGTATGTAATTACCCATACCTATTACCTTGATTCTACAATTAATATTTGTTTTACTGTCGCCCAGGCTGGAGTGCAGTGGCGCGATCTCAGCTCACTGCAAGCTCTGTCTCCCGGGTTCACGCCATTCTCCTGCCTCAGCCTCCTGAGTAGCTGGGACTACAGGTGCCTGCCACCGCGCCCGGCTAATTTTTGTATTTTTAGTAGAGACGGGGTTTCACTGTGGTCTCGATCTCCTGATGGGGGTTTCACCTTCCCTTCTCTCAACATTTTATTATAGACATTTGCAAACGTAAAGAGAGCCTGAAAAGCAGTGTGAGACGGAGTCTCGCTCTGTCGCCCAGGCTGGAGTGCAGTGGCGCGATCTCAGCTCACTGCAAGCTCCGCCTCCCAGGTTTACGCCATTCTCCTGCCTCAGCCTCCTGAGTAGCTGGGACTACAGGCGCCCGCCAATTCTCCTGCCTCAGCCTCCTGAGTAGCTGGGACTACAGGTGCCCGCCACTGCGCCAGGCTAATTTTTTTTGTATTTTTAGTAGAGACGGGGTTTCACTGTGGTCTCGATCTCCTGATGGGGGTTTCACCATGTTGGTCAGGTTGCTCTCGAACTCCTGACCTCAAATGATCCATCTGCCTTGGCCTCCCAAATTGCTGGGATTACAGGCATGAGTCGCCACACCCATCCTGTTTGCCTGTTAATTATGCTAAAACAAGTCCTGATATGGAGATGTTTTCAATTTTTATTCTGAAAGTCAAATTATCTTCTCCTACCTGTTTTCTTCCACAGCGTTTTGTTTTTTTTTCCCCCCCAGATGGAGTGTCGTTCTTGTGGCCCAGGCTGGAGTGCAGTGGTGTGATCTCGGCTCTATTAAAACACAAAAATTAGCTGGTGTGGTGGCATGTGCCTGTCGTCCCAGCTACTTTGGAGGCTGAAGCAGAAGAATCACTTGAACCCATGAGGCGGAGGTTGCGGTGAGCCAAGATTTCGCCACTGCACTTCAGCCTGGGCGACAGAGTGAGACTCCTTCTGAAAAGGAAATTAAATTAAAATTAAAAAAATTAAAAGGCAAACAGCAAAGGTGTTCTTGGGCTCTAATACTTTGGAAAAAAGCATTTACAATAAATGTGACAGTGAAAGTTTAGATTTTGGATTTGGTTTAGAAATCATATTTTCAGGCCAGGCGCATTGGCTCACGCCTGTAATCTCAGCACTTTGGGAGGCAGAGGCAGGTGGATCACCTGAGGTCAGGAGTTTGAGACCAGCCTGGCCAACATGGAGAAGCACCATCTCTACTAAAAATAGAAAAAATCAGCCAGATGTGATGGTGGACGCTTGTAATCCCAGCTACTTGGGATGCTGAAGCCAGAGAATCGCTTGAACCTGAGAGGCGGAGGTTGCAGTGAGCCAAGATCGTGCCACGGCACTCCAGCCTTGGTGACAGAGCAAGACTCTGTCTCAAAAAGGTGTGGTGGCTCACACGACTTGTAATCCCAGCACTCTGGGAGGCAAGGCGGGCAGATCAATGAGGTCAGGAGTTGGAGACCAGTCTGGCAACCACAGTGAAACCCTGTCTCTACTAAAGAAACAAAAATTAGCCGGGTATCGTGGCACGCACCTTAATCCAGCTACTCGGGAGCTGAGGCAGGAGAACACTGAACCAGGAGGTCAGAGGTTTGCATGTGAGCTGAGATCATGCACTGCCACCCAGCCTGGGTGACAAGGGCCAGACTTCAGATCCTCAAAGAAAAAAAAAAGAATTATTTGTAGGTGTAGTAGGCGGGAAATAATTCCCAAATATAGAAAACCTACAGAGGAAGAAAAACCAAACAATCTTCTCGCATCCCACTACCAGAAAATAACACTAACTAAGTACTTTAGGTATATTATCGAGTCTTCTGTTCCGGTGTGTGTGTGCGTGGTATATATAAGTGTACATATCTACTTTACTGAATTTGGGTTAAAATATGTGTGTAGGTGCAGGCGCGGTGGCTCAAGCCTGTAATCCCAGCACTTTGGGAGGTGCCGAGACGGGTGGATCACGAGGTCAGGAGTCGAGAACCCAATCCTGGCTTAAACCCGGTGAAACCACCCGTCTCTACTAAAAAAATACAAAAAACTTAGCGGGGCGAGGTGGCGGGCCCGCCATGTAGTCCCCAGCCTACATCAGAGAGGCTAGGCAGGAGAATGGCGTAACCTGGGAGGCGGGAGCTTGCAGTGAGCGTGAGATCTCGGCCACTGCTACTCGCCACTGGCGCGGAAGACGTAGGAGATGAGACTCGTCTCAAAAATATAAAAAATGTGTGTATACACTTAATATAATTTAAATACACGTAATTGTAAAACATATATTGCTTGTTACCATTATTTTTAATAAACTCACAATATGTTATACAATACAGGCGTGTGATTCCTTAGATTTAGTATAATGTATACACCACACATATATTTTTAACAAATCAGAATATGTCTGTAACTTATATTCCTGTTCTTTTGTCCCATTTTATATCTGTACAATCTCGTTTGCTCCTCAATCCATAAATATGATTTCTTTCTTGTTTCGTTTTTT